CTTTGTGTCATACTCTCCGGACTTCTAGTCCACGGCCGGTGGCTCCATGCCTTTACTTTGGGTTGTAGAAGACCAGCACGTCAAGGAGGAAGCGTGGGCTGGAGGTGGCCACTGGCCTCATGTCAGCTGGGAGGTGAAAGACACAGCCAAGGCGGAGCCGAGATCCCAAGAGCCCCTTCAATACCATGACCCACTGACCTACAACCTCTTTGCCCCAGGCCCCATCTACTAAAGGACCCAGGATCTCCCCGTAGTGCTGTAAGCTGGGCAATGAACCATCAATAGTTGGCCTTTGGTAGGCATTAACATCTTAACTATAACAGGACTGCACAATCTTAGTAGTTTGAGAAGTGGACCTGTATTCCACAGATGCCCAGTGGAGGGTATTAAAAATCATTCCAGGTGAAGCCAGGTGTTGTGGCACCCACCTGTAACCTGGCCTCCTGGGAAGCAAGAGCAGGAGGAATATGAGTTTAAGTCCAGCCAGGGCAACCAAAAACAGAGCAGCATTGTCTCTCAAAATAGAAATACAAGGATTGGGGATGTAGCTCAGTGCGAAGGCCTTAGGTTCAATTCCTAGGACATCCCTAGGACACCTTACCTTACAACCCCACTTAAAATAAAAAGTTTAATACTATGGCTTTTCTGGGTAGCATCTGAACCACAAAAATCTCCATTCAGGCAGAGAATCATGTCTTTTCATTTATTTTGTTCACAATGTGTTTTGAAAGTAAGTAAGGCATAGCCGATGTCTTTCTGCTTGTCAATAGGGCAGCTTCTCAAATTGTCCCAGAAGATTTTTACTTTTGGAGACTTTGTAGAAAAAATATTACTCATAGTCCAACCTTGGAAGTGCTTGAAATAATTTCTAGAACCGTCTTCACAGAACTACAGTTTTGTAGGTCTATGCAAGTCTAGGTGAGAGAATTGGAGTTCACCTGCTGTAATGGCAGTTTTCCAGATGACCAAACAAGCTTGCCCAGTTCTCTAAGTCGTGTGCCACAGAATTTTATTCCTGAAAGTGCCTCATTCTGTGTTTCTCTCTTGAACATTCACAGACTACACCAGGATTTCGAGAACTCCGAGACATTTCATTTTATATTACTGAATGTTTCCCGATCTCATAAGAGCATAAGATCAAATAATACCTTACTAGATTCCGCCCATTGTGATACCATAGAACACTCTTTCTGAGACCATAAATAAATAACTTCCATCCTTTTACAATATTGTATATTGGTAAAATGATCAAAGATTTTTCTGTAGTTATTTAAGAGTGATTTGAATTACTCTATGCTCCATGCCATCTGCCCCTCAGCGACCTTGTCTAGATACTTTCTGTCATCTAATAACCTTTCTAATTGAGTTGTTTAAATTGAAACTGTGATGAGTTACGGTAAATGGTTTTATTATTTAGTGGAAGTTTAAGAATGTTCTGTTATTTTATAGATTTTTTCATACTGTCTGTGTGAAAATGAAAATAAAATCAAATGACATGTCATTAGTACCTGTTCTTACTGAATTTAATAGACATCTAGTTAAAGATGATCAAAATGTCTAACTCCTTTTTATTTTCTTTTAGCTACTATGCCTTTCTTGCCTTCTTCCATAACAAGCCTAAAGTTATCTCAAAACAAATTTACATGCATTCCAGATGCCATTTTAAATCTACCACAGTAAGTTTATTGTTATTATAATTTTCAAACCACGTGATCTAAAGCCGAGCTCTTGGAAATATGGTTTTGATTTAGGCATATAAATGGAATTCATTTCTAAATCTACTTAGCTTACTGTTTTTGTATACATAAATGTTTGATTTTCTCTAGACCAAAGATCAAGGTTCAAACTTTTATATTAATTTGTTTGACTATAAAAGCATAGAAAAAATCTTAAGGCTGTGTAATTAGTTGTTGGCTTACAGTGAAATGGGACTGCACTGGCCGTCACTTTAACTTTTAAAATTTCAGTTGTTCTTAGAGGTTATGTTGCAGAAATACCATTAGCTTTGAAATCATGTTCATGTTATACCTGAGGGACTCTTGGTGATGAACAGAACAATACACACGGTGTAAGGTTTGGGAGAAGTTTTGGTTAATTTCATTGAAAGTAAGAGACTCTTTTTAACCAGAAATCCAGGCACTGATTAGATCTCAAGTGTGCTGTCATTTTAAATAATGATCTACTTGTGCCATGTATTATAAATTGAATTTATATTTATACCCATGTGTCTTAGTTACTTTTCTCATCACTGAAACAAAAACCCTGCACTCAAATTTAAAGGAAGAAAGGCTTACTTTGGCTCATAGTCTGTAGAGGTTTCAGTCCGTAATCTCACTCCAAGGCAGAGTGGTATTGTAGACAAGAAACAGTTTGTGGAATGGCAGACAGAAGACAGTAAAAGCAAGTGACAAGTGACAACTCTCTGTGCCTTCTGTTTTATCCATCTCCTACCACTACATCCTTTTCCCTATAATTTTATTGAGAAATAAATAGCAATGAGACAGTTTGAAATCAAATTAGTAGGACAGTTCCAATGATTAACACATTGCATACTGCCTTCCTAGTGGTTGTTTGTTGATATCCTATTTACAAACACTATTAGAATAAATCCCTCTATTCCTTGAATTAAGAGAATGTAGCTCTATATCTATCCTCACTATTTTGAATACACAGATAGAAAATGGACATTCATCTATATCCCTTTTTTTGTTTAGTTCCATCATTTAAATAATATAGGTGTGTGAACTCAGCAAAATATTCCAAAATAGTCCAGTAGTCCATAATAGTGTTGGGTCTTCCACTTGACTGGCAATGTCAGAAGTTGTTGACCTGAGTCCCGTACAGCTCAACATAACAGCATGGCTTTACTTCTTATACTTCGTTTTTATACTTTTCTGCTGGATGGTTAAAACCAAGATAAAGCAAGACCTATTTAACAAGAATTGTAGCTTTTGGATGGATAAGGTCAGTGAAATCCCCTCAGGATTTATCCTGAGACCCTGTACCTCAGTTTGTAGATCCTTTGTCAGTGTCAGCCATGTACCACTGCATCCTTGATCCCGGACCACACACCCTTAAATCGAGCATCACACTCTTGATCCAGCCACTGCTGAAAAGCCCCACCTGTGACCGCATGAGGCTTCAGGGGGACATCTAGACACAGGCCATAACAATGTGCAAATACATGGGCAAACAGTAATTATAGTCTAATCATAGAAGCCCAGACATACGTAAGTTATCTTACGCCTACCTTTAGAATGTGTCAGATGTTCTTCTAATGATTCTACAATCACATCTCTAATCTTCCTAATATCCTATATAATAGTTACTGTTACTGCCTTCTTTGTAAACTCTCATCAGAGAGATGATACATCTTCCCCACAGCCACAGTTCTTCAACATTGGTTGGATCAACCTGACACTTTCACCCTTACGTGCAGGCACCTACGGAGTACATGTAAGCTCATATTTTAAACATAACATAGTCCTAAAAATGTGTTTGAAAGCCAAACATTTATGATGCTGAGTAGAAAATAACATGCTGAAAAGAAGGGATTTTTCCTCCTGAGCACTAAAGCTATTATCCAGCCTCTAATTGCACCACACCTTAGATGCCATCCTAGGCACACTTTTTCAGCAGTCGCATGCATTTCTTCAATTTTCCTTGTTTCAAAAATGAGCTCACAGTGAGCTAGCTTAATCCTGACTGAGACAAAAGAGATGCAACTTTGGGAAAATCTTGCTGATCCTTTGTTTCTCGGGTTGCTTGTTAGAAATACATCTTATCTCTAATATTGTCAAGTTCTCTTTCCTATTTTTCATGCATTTATATAAGATAGCTAGGGGAAGCCAGTAACATTTTAAAATAAGGGCACACATGTTGTTTCTGAACTTCTGTCTAACGAACAGCATCCTTTGTGCGCTTAGAATGAACTCATTAAGCTTTAAATATGCTGGGGGAAAGGGGCAGTATACAGCAAGAGAAGTCCCGGCGACCTTGTGCTTCCCATGTGTACTGCAGCTTGCACTGAAGGCCTGTTAGGGCCAGGAACCATGTTCAGCACTTGATTATCATCTGAGGCAGGTGGTAAACGGTGCCCGAGTGCTGACGTAATGACCTGAGGGCCAGCCTCTGCAGAGCCCTTACCTAGTGCGTGAACAGCGATCTACTCAGAAGTGGCGCTACAGTGTTCTAAGTCTTGTGTAGAAGGCAGGAATTCTGATGACCATTTTTACATCTGTTAATTATAATTTTTCATGCACTGTAAGCATTTGGAAAATACTAGGTTTTTCCCTCTTTTCTGAGATTGACATTTTTTATGCATCTGAAGCAGGGAAATTGGCTTCAATTTTTTTCTCTTTGAAAGGTCTTTAGCTGATGCATATACATTGTGCCTACTTGTGGGATACCGTGTGATACTTTGATGTATTACGCATTATGTACTTTCCAAATAAAAGTAAATCTATGTCCTCTCTGATCATTTCTTTGTGGTGAAAAGATCCAAAAATCTGCCTTTTTTTTTTTCCCAAATATACAATTTTGTTATCTGTAGTCAGCCTACTATATAATAGCATCAGTTGTGTTTTTAGTGGACCCTATTCATTTGAGTCACCATTACAATGAAATATTTTTCTAACCCATGTATACTTATATGTATATATAAATTTACATGCATACTTATATGTAAATAATGTTCTAAAGTTACCTTATTCTCTGCTAAGATGACTTGATGCTATGCCGTGTGCGTTTTGAAAGCACTCATACTGTTTTCATGGTCACATATTGTTTTCAGCTTACGGTCCTTAGATATGAGCAGCAATGATATTGAATATCTGCCCAGTCCTGCAAACTGGAAATCTCTGAACTTAAGAGAGCTCTTATTTAGCTACAATCAGATCAGCGTCTTGGACTTGAGTGAAAAAGCATGTACATGGTCCAGAGTAGAGAAACTGCATCTTTCTCATAATAAACTGAAAGAGGTAAGAAGTCATCTTCATTTGTTAAAGTTATTGCCAGCTGAAAAATATGCTTCATAATTTGCAATGTCACAAATCATCACTTTAAAATTTATTATTTGCTATATTTTCTTTTTGAGTAAGATCCAATCTTCCCTTGTGGCAAGTGGTTGTAGGAGTATTACTTCCCTTCAGAAATAGCCATGCTATATTTTTGAAGCATTCTATGAATGTATGTGTGCATTTAATTATGACTGTGGGTAAGAGTGTGTGTCACAGTATCTCCGATCTGTTATGAGACTCTCAGATATGCTACGTTTCTCAGGTTCACTGAACTATATATTTTCCCTCTGCCTTTCTTTTCCTATGTTCTTAAATTTTAGCATTTTTCCTTTATGCTACCCTTTACCCAAATAGATCAGCTTCCTTTGCTTTAAACCCCATTCCTTCCATTATAAGTCTGAAATTGATTATCCACATACCTCAAAACATGTTTCTTGTACAATGTTATCCTACTTTCTATAAAGCCAAAAAAACTTAAGTCTGATGTGGTGAAGATTTTTTTGCTAGCAAATATTTTTTTTTTGTAAAGCTAGTACAGATTGTTCAAACTTTCGAATAGAAAAGCAAAGCATGCCAATTATACTGCTACTGAAAATATAAACATTCAGAATAAACATGTCATAAAAACATTAAGTTACATGCAAGTTTGTAATTATTGGGTTCTTGTGGTTGACTGAAGAACATAGGAAAGACAAGGGTAAGGAATGAAACCATATATTGTTGATTTGGATAACTATTGAGCACTTCTTTATTTGCAAAATTGTGAAGAGATTAAGTGTATTAGCAAGGGAGATTTGTTTTCATGTTTTGAAGTTATAAATGCCATAGATGGTTTGGGGAGGGAAGCTCTTTAAGTGTATTTTTCAGGTTTCAAGCATATACTGGAAAGGGATGCTGAGCCTCTGGAATGCTTTCCTACTCTGTTGAAAGGTTGGCCAGCTTGCTGGTGGAGTCTGTCGGCCCTTCGTGCTTCCTGTGCCGTCGTTTCCTGGCAGTGTGCACTGTTTCCTTCCCACCAACAGGTTTTGCCCTTTTTGGTTTTCTTAAGATTCCTCCTGAGATTGGCTGTCTTGAAAATCTGACCTCTCTTGATGTTAGCTACAACCCAGAACTGAGATCCTTTCCCAATGAAATGGGGAAATTGAGCAAAATATGGGACCTCCCCCTGGATGAGCTGCACCTTAACTTTGACTATAAGCACATCGGATGCAAAGCCAAGGACATCATAAGGTCAGATTCTTCCATTTCCATTTGTTTTTATTAAATTTGTTTCGGACAGCTTCAGTCTGCGATTTGGATGGCTATATAGTTACAATTTAAGGAACAATGAATAGTGCTATTTGGCATTACTACTATGTCATTTGTCTGTCTTTCAATGAATGAGTTTATTGATGGCATCACACAGGTTTGTCGTCAAGCTAAGGTTGAGAGAATGGTGTCTTCTCCTTATCCTTTTTAGAAGAGCACCAAAGGGAGATGGTGTTACTATATATTAAGTCTTTGGTTATTAATTAGACCATCTAGAGAAGTACACGAGGGCGCTTCTTAATTTCATGTAGCAAATAGTTAACATGCCCATTATGATGTAAAGTATTTAGTTACTGATCTGATATGTAATCATTAATCTTGTTGTTTTTCTTTTTCTTTTTTGGTACTGGGGATCAAACTCAGGACCTTGCACTTGCCAGGCAAGTGCTTATTCTACTGAGCTATCTCCCCGGCCCATATTAATTCTGACTTTAGCCTTGAAGAGGAACAGCTACTCACCTTGGTCCTTTTTGGAACCCCCATGGTTTCCTAGATGTCACTGCTTTTGATCTTTAAGAACACCTTGGGCAGTGGCTTTTGTCCATGCTAAAGTTGTCTTTTAGTGTATTACATCTGTCATTACCTACTCTCCAAATCCTTTGCCTTACAAAGGTACTCTATGTATCTTACAGGGCTTAAGCTCAATGAACACCTCCCCACACACCTGAACTTGGCTATTATGTCCACCCAGGTAACCTGGGACCTAACACTCCCTGTGATTCCTGGCACCTAACACAGAGCCTGGCATTTAAGCAATAGCTACTACAGTCATTGACGGCACTTACCCGTCAGTTGTCTTCTGCTTAAGTTCTATTAAATTTATATTCTACTTTTTGTCTCTTCTGTGAAGATTTGATTTTCTGAACTCCCACGCTCAATTTAACAAATAAAGAGCCTGTTGCCTTCCATACCCGCATAACTACCCCTCACTTTACACATGCTTTCCCTCCTGAAAATACGCTTATATGAGAATTGGTTCAATTCTTTTTGTTGTTGTTTATTTCATTTATGTATCTGGTGCAGGAACTCACTACGCAGCTTGGACTCATACTGATCCTTCTGTTTTCAGCTACCCTAGCGCTGGAATTACAGGCTTGCGCCACCACACCTGGACTTGGTCACCAGCTCAGCGCACCCCAGGGGTGGGGCCTGTGCAGCATGTGGGACCAGGGATTGAACCCTGGTCCCTGTGCTTGCCAAGGCAGGCACTTTATCCACTGAGCTATCTTGCTAGCCCTGGTTCAATTCTTATTAAGTGTTTAGTGGAACTAGTTTTCAATGTTTTAAGTCTTATTACAAGATACTATATAACTAAAACCCATGAGTCCTATATGCCCCATATGTGACTACATATGCACATACATGGTAGAACCAATAAGACTTCATTGTCAACCTTTAGTATAAATATTTATATAGTACCTGAGTTCACTATCACACAAGCATTATAAAATTTTATACTAGATAATTTTTAGAACTTTGTTTATACTACTTAAAGAAACCCAGACACACACTTGTGTATGTATATATCTATATCTATATCTATATCTATATCTATATCTATATCTATATCTATATCTATATCTATATCTATATGTATTATAAACAAACCTTGACATTTATTGCTGGTGCTAGTGTAGTATGTCATTATATTTCATAATGCTGCCAAACATGAACTATTTAATTGTTCACCGAAAGGCATATGTATTGTTAGTTCTCTGAGGAGTACAATGTAGGGTGTTCGGCGCATTAGAATTCACCTAAATCCAAAGTATACTGTTAAGCAATTTATTATTTTATTTTTATCTTTCAAATCCCAGGTTTCTTCAGCAGCGGTTGAAAAAAGCCGTGCCCTACAATCGGATGAAACTTATGATCGTGGGCAACACCGGGAGTGGTAAGACCACATTATTACAGCAACTGATGAAAATCAAGAAGTGTGACCTTGGGCTGCCGGGTGCCACGGTGGGCATCGATGTGAGAGACTGGCCTATCCAGATAAAAGGCAAGAAGAAGAGAGACCTTGTTCTCAATGTGTGGGATTTCGCAGGTACGGCATTGAGTTCTCTTGGTGTTTATTGCTTTATTTTTACCTTTTGTTTAGAACGGGTATTTAAAAGCTTGAGTTTTCTGTTTTAATCCAGCAAAGAGCTAGTAAATCCGATTGAATTAATCCAAAACCATTTCTTCTCCTAATTTTACCAGAATGGAGAAGTAGAAAGCAGTGTTAGGAATGGGGAGGAGCCAGCTGAAGTTGTGTATTTGCTGGTGGGTGGTACATGTGCAGAAGTTGTTAATTCCTGGTGCAACCCAGGAGAACCCTCGAAATGTGTTTTCTTTTTTTTAAATAATTCTTTTGCCCATCATTTAAAACAATTCTTACCAATTGCTGGGAGATTAAAAAGAAAAAGAAGAAACCTGGCCTTCTCTTCGTCTAGGTCGTGAGGAATTCTACAGTACTCATCCCCACTTTATGACCCAGAGAGCCTTGTACCTCGCAGTCTATGACCTCAGCAAAGGGCAGGCGGAAGTGGACGCCATGAAGCCCTGGCTCTTCAACATAAAGGTGAGCTGTTCTAATTGCTTAGAGCTGGAGAACAGCTCTAGGGTTTTTTTGGTGTGTTTATAAAGAAATTTGTTTTGGGTAAACAGTTGCTGCTGTCTTTTCAG